GGAAGAATAGGAACAAAATCTTTGTAAATAGGGAGGAATGGAGGGGTTGAAGGGAGGGCTGGGCAAGGGTGAAAAATAAGAACCAAGAGAGATAAGTAAAGGTGCAAATTTCCAATGATGAATGTCATTATATTGTATACCTAAAATGTACCAATGATAAAAAAAAAGTGCCTTGCAGCCCTTTCGTGGAACCAACAAAACAGTGTACATCCGCATGTGAGTTGTGTGTGCTTAGATGGGACAACAGTGAAGGCCAGCTCTCCAGCTGCAAGTTGTGGGTGGGTTTCCATCACATGCTGTTGTGCAGGAAGCAAGCCACCACGGGACACCAGTGATGCTCAAACCAGGCGGTGTTCAGCAGTGCTCGTGGTTCTGGATACGAATTTGGAGTGTGCACCTGGCATCCCAAAAGCCAGGGAACGATTGGGTGAGAGTCTGGGGGGTACTGCAGGGGGCTGTGGCCAGGCAGGAAGCTGAGGGCTCCCAGGATGCTGGTTTTGTTTAAGTGGGCTGATGGCTGAGCAAGGTGGTTTTATTTGTCTTTGAACTGTGCATAATAGGTCTTGCACACTTGGATATATCTTTTAAATATTTTTAAAGTTTTAGATAGAGTTACTGCCTCAAGAGGCGTGAATGCTAATTGGAAGACCAAGATTAAACACTTGGATAGGGCTGGTTGGTGTGGTGGTGCACACCAGTGATCCCAGCACTCGGGAGGTTGAGGCAAGAAGTTTGCTGCAAGTTCCAGGCCAGCCTGGGCTGCATAGTGAGTTCAAGGTCAGCCCAAACTACTTAGTGAGACCCTGTTTCCAAAAAACCCAAAACATTTGGAGGGGCACAGAGTAGTGTGGGATAAGAGAGGTACTCAGATTGTGTGTGTGTGTGGGGGGGCTGTTCCCCAGGGCTGACACAAAGTGGGTGCTTGTCAGCAGGTGCTGGGTTGAACCCAGGAGAAGGGATGGACTCCAGTTGGAAGAATTTAGAATATGAGTGCAAGACAGATTCTGAAAAAGTAAGACGTATGTGAAAATATTTTTAGCGAAAACTTACCCCTCTAAGAGCTGGACATGCAGGCCACGGTGGCTGAAGATGGTGAGGAGGACCTCGGCTTCACCCTGTCGGTGCAGGTCCAGGGAGTCTGGGGAGACCTGGAACCTGTGCACTGACACAGACAGAGTGTTGCTGTCTCCACTGTCTTGAAAGCCAGACCTGACAGTTCATTCATCACTCCACTCCCCTCCCCACTCCACCTGTATCTCTTGCTGTGCAGGTTACCATCAAACCAGTGGTTTAACACAGATTTGTTACGTGAAATTCTGAAGGTCAGCCTCTGAAATCTGTGTGCCCTGCGAAAGCCAAGGGGAACAGTCCTTGGCCCCACCTTTGCCAGCTGCCAGAGCCCCCCCCCCCCAGTCCTTGCTAGATGACCCTCTCTCCTTCCCACCCAGCAGGCCTGCACCCCCAGTTGTGGGGCACATCACCTGCTCCGTGTGTGTTCATACTGCCCTCCTCTTACAAGGACACATAGGATTACAATTCAGGATCATTCCCCCTCTACGGGTCCCCACACGGCTACTGAGTTCCTCTGCCAAGTAAGGGCCATGTTTGCAGGGCGTGGGATTAGGATGTGGCTGCCTCTGGAGAGCGTTATTCGGCTGCCCGCCCTACTTGCACTTGGTGGTGCTCAGATTGTCTTTCCCCTGCATCCTCACTTTATTTTTTTTTTAAGCATCTTGACCACTGGGAGTGGTGGTGTTCACCTGTAATCGAAGCTGTGTGGGAGCCTGAGGTAGGAGCATCGCAAGTTCAAGGTTAGCCTGGGGAATGTAGTGAGTCCCTGTCTAAAAAATAAAATGGCCAGCGACTGTAGCTCATGTGCAAGGCCCTAAGTTCAACTCTCAGTACCATAAGAAAACCAAAAAGTAAAGCGAAAATCATCTTGACCAGCCTGTTCTGTGTCCTTTTATCATGTTCCCAGGTCTTGTTTGAGTAGCTTGGTGACATCTGTGTTTCAACCAGGACTTTTCTCTTGGAATGCTTGATTCCTGGAGGTTTTCCTACTTGGTTTGGTTGCCCTTGGCACTGCTCCATCGAGGCTGCCATGCTGTGGACCAGGATACTGTTGTTGCCGCAGCTGCAGCAGCTGTGCTTCAGAGGTGACTTTGCTCCTTGAAGTTCTTTTTTTTTTTTTCTTGAAGTTCTAATCATAATTTTACATGACACTTGTGCATGTAATGTTTCCTTTAGTCCCCCCCACCACCAGTACTAGGAAATGAACCTAGGGGATTCACACTGAGCTACGTCTTCTGGTCTTTTTTTGCATTTTGAGACAGGGTTTCCCACATTACTAAGTAGCCCAGGCTGGACTCAAACTTGTGACCCTGCTGCTTCAGCCTTCCAAAACAGTGGGGTTACAGGCGTGTGGCACCATGCTTGGCTCCTTTAGGGTTTTTAATGAATCTAGCCCTGATGAATATTGTCCTATACAAGTAGAAAATGCCTTAAAGATACAGAATTACTCTTCTTTTTCTACTTTGGGGACAATTCTATTTTGTTTGTTTACAAATATTTTTTTCTAGGGCCGGGGATTTAGCTCAGTGGTTCCACCGCCTGCCTCACAAGGGCAAGGACCTGAGTTTGATTCCCAGTACCAAAAAAACCCCCAAAAACAAATATTTTTTTCTGGAGAGATAGGGAAACATCTCTTTAAAAATCTATAATTTATTTGAACTGCGCCTATTTAAGATGCACAGCACAGCATGATGGATGATTTGAATATATATACATTGTAGGTTAAGGTATCTGGTTACTATTTAGTGTGCCTAGAGCACTTAATCTGACCTCTTAGTACATCTCAAGTGTGCAGTCACCTTGCTTTACATTAGATCTTCAGAACTTGTAACCAAAAGTTTGTACCCTTTGACCAAATTCTCCGAGTTTCCTTCACCTCTAGCCTCCCACCACCACCCAGCTACTCTTTAAGAAAACAAAGCTTTATAATAACCTTACGAGTATACAGAATCAGGCTTTTACTGTGCGTTAGTATTGTTGAGTTTCTCTCTAGTCTTGGTCTGCGGGCTGCTACAACAATACACTAAACAGGGTAGCCTGTAAACAACATTTTTGCTTCTCACTGTTGAAGAAATTCAAGATGAGGGCACTGGCAGATCTGGTGTCTGGTGAGAACCTGCTCTTCCTAGATGGTGCCTTCTGGGTTTGTCCATGCACAGGGCAGAGCCCTGACCCAATCGGTCCCCACTGGGGTAAGGGTCCAACCCATGAACTTGGGGAGCGGAGGACATGAACATCAAGGCCTCAGCATACACTGATAGCTTTTATCAGTTCACAGAAAAACGAGTCCAGGTCGGTGTCTGTATGTACTTCGGTAGGCTTCTTAATAGTGTGATAAATGCCTTTAAAACTTTCAATGGGAGGCCGTAGAATTTTGGAATTTAATGGCTTTGGGGAAAGTGCAGATTTCTGCTTTCATTAGACATTTTCCACCCTGTGGGTGAGGGCAGGGCAAGGACTGGGAAGATGAAGTGAGCCGGTGATTTCCTGTTATTTCCCATTAATGGTCCCGGGGGCTCTGACCCCATGTGTGGGACACGCTGGCAGGGGAGAGGGCTGCAGAGCCTTGGGCTCTGGCGCAGCCCCCAGCCCAGCTACAGCAGCCCAGGACCTTCGCCTCCCACCTCCCTGCTGCCAGTCGCCTTTGGGAGCCAGCCTGATTGGCGCCCTCCTTTGGTGCCTGGGGAGTCAGTCCAGGCACTTCCATGTGGCTTGTGACCATTGCACAGCCTGGCCTCACCCAGCCCCGATGCTACTGTGCACACACCACGCTGCACACACTTTGGGCTTTCACCACGCCGAGTGGGCAGGCCTGCAGCAGTGCAGCAGCCTTGCCCTCTTTGCCTGTCAAGTCTTACTCATCCTTCAGGGCCCCTTTCCTCCGGCACTGCCTCTGCTACCATGCATTGCACTTGCTCAGTTTGTCTTCCGGAGTTCCCTGGTTTCTTCATCATGGTGCTCTCTGTCTCTGTCTTTGATACTTAGTTGTCTTTTTTCATGCTGTTCGAGTAGTTTAGTTTTCTCCATTGTGTGAGATCCTCCGCAGACTTGTACCGTGAGCCTTTCGTTAGGTTGTTCTGTATTCATAAGCAGGTTGGTGTTGACTGATCAGGCTTCCGGGGGTTTGGGTTTCTGTACTCCAAGGCAGTGGACTAAAGCTTGGGTATATCAGCCCTCCTGACTCTGTGACTTAGGATGGCACACATCGAGGGTACTGTGCACAGTGGAGCTGCATGTCAGCACTTTGTGGCAGTGACAAGAATGAAAGGTTCCCCAGTGGGAGATCTGGGAAGCTGGCCAAGGTGGGCCCAAGGCCCCTTGCCAACAAGTTAGGTACATCTGTGCTGGGAGGCCTGAGCAGGAGGTTCCCTGGTGGATTATGGATGCAGTTTTTCTTTCTGTGAAAAGGTCTGTAGGATTTGTGAGTAGCCCCATCCTAAGCTGGGAACCAAGATGGTTGCTGCCATGGGGGCCAGGGCAGGAAAAGGCTCAGCCTGAGAGCTACAGCCAGAGCCTCGGTCATGCCATGTCACTCAGCAAACCCATTGAGCTCCTCTTGGAACGGGGGCTTGTGGAAGGAGACGGGCTGGCCTGTGGCCTGGAGGAGCTCAGCCCGCTGGAGGTGGTGCTGACGCAGCTGTGTGGTGGGGGGTGAGGGCCATTGTGCACACAGCTGCTTCTGCTTCCTCCTCCTTAAAGCCCTGGTCCTTTCACAGCACAGGGCTGCCCCAAATATCACTACGCCCTTTCTCCATGCCACCCTTCCCAGGGGATCAGATACGTGTGGGTCCCTGAGCTCAGGTGGGCCAGCCAGAATCTGCCAGGAATGTGGAGCAGAGGTGCCAAGGTGGCCGCTTCAGTGTGGAGGTTGAGGTGGAGTCCAGGAAGGTGGCCCTGGGGAAAACCCCGGCAGACAGCGAGAGACAGGTGGCACCAGTGCTGTGGGTGGCTCTGAGGGTGCCCTTCCTCAGATGCTGGCTGGCTGCCCGAGCTCTGTTTCCTTCAGGGAACCCTGCTATCCTTGCAGATCAACATCTGTCTCCAAGCTAATTTGGATGGATTTGTGTCCCATTTGATGAGATGTTCCTAAGAAAATAAAGTGTAAGATAGCAAGAGCGCTCTGCCACTGAGCCTTGAAGGCTGAGTGGACTGTCCCTGGGGCGGCCCTCACGCCTCTGGATTCTGAGATGAGGGCATTGAGTGCTTCCTCAATACTTTCAGCAATACCCCTACTTAATGGCCTGAGAATTTGTGTTTTCTTAATCTTGCAAACTTTAATCTTAGTTTCATAGAAGGTATTTCTAGCTGAGCTGCAAGAAAAAAAGAAAAGAATGAGTTAGTCTTGGTTTTTGTTCACAGCTTGACCTTAAGAGGAGGACAGAGCTGCAAATTGCCAAAGGCCCAGAGCCAGCAGAGGGAAGGTAAGAGAAGACCAAAATGGGGGAACAACCAGAGCAGAGGACCCCTTGAGGTCAGGTGCTTTTCCCTCGAGACCCATTTTACAGATGCCCAAGTTCTTGAAAAAGTTGGATCCGAGGGGCAGAAGTCCCTTTCTCCAGTCTCAGTTCGGGGACCTGGGAGGCCCGAGGCCTTCACTTCTTGGAGCTTTAGTACAAGCACATGGATCTTGATAGGTGGTATTTATTTTTCATTGAAAATGTTTTCTAGCATCCTAGATAAACATCCACTTGTCATTAGAGCAACAGATGTATTATTCCAAGCGTCTAGGTGTTTTTCAGTCATAGGCTTATTCCTCATTTTGTTACATTTTGTTTTGAGGTGTTTTAGTGCATACAAAGAATTTCTTCTGTGTGTTCTTTTTGCATGGTGCAGTGTTTAGTGAAGACTGAATGTACACGAACACTTGAAAAAGATTATGTCAGGGGCTGGGGATGTAGCTCAGTGGTTCTGCCGCCTGCCTCAAAAGCGCGAGGTCCTGAATTCAATCCCCAGTACCAAAAAAAAAAAGTAATGGCTGAAAAAGATTATGTCGGGAACTCTGGGCTTAGCATGGCTTGGTCCAGCATCTCAACTTCTAATGTTCTTCCTTGTAGGAAATCAATGTCCGGGTCATTCTGAGGGCAGGTGCTGTAACAATTGAGACTTTTGAGACACTGCAGCCAGTGTGAATACTCTGATGCAGCACCTGGTCATTGTCATCTCCAGCCAGTGGTGGCATGGGCAGGGACATGGTGTACTGGGACAGCAGAGCACAGTGCTGTGGGAATGCTTACCCCTCTCCCTCATCTACATCAGGAGGCTTGGAGAGGCAGCCTCTTGCACAGCGGAGAAGGAGGGACATTTTTGAGACAGATGACCCTAACTTTCCATGTATTTCAGAGGGTTTGGGAACAACAAGGGGTGTTGTTGACCTCTATACAGAGGATTGGTCAGAAAAAAAGACATGTTTCGTGCAAACTTTCTTATCTTACTTTCCTCATTGCTGGGACACAACACTCGACACCTGCAATTTAGAGGACGAGAGGTTTATTTTGGCTCATGTTACAGTCCATGGTTACCTGTCTCCGGGCAGGAAGGCATGGCAGGGGCCAGAGCAGAATAGAGCTGCTCAGGGCGTGGTGGAGACTGAAGTGAGGAGCCTGGGGGCAGCCAAAGCCTCCAGGCCAGTGACCCCATCTCCTACCAGACCCCACCTCCGGACAGCGGGCAGCAGCACTCCCGCAGTCCAGTCCCCTCCCAAGCATCTCAGGCTCTTGGGGGACATCTAGATACAAACCGAACTCAGGAGTTCTCAGCTCTCCTGGTCCTTGAGGAAAAATTACCCCAAAGGGGCGTGCATTTGAATTGTTCTCATTAAATATTTGGTTTGTGTTCAGCAGAGTTTATAATGTTTTCTCTTCCTGGTCCACTTTAGCATTTTTATTGAAGGCGGTGAGTTTCTCTGAACAGAGTCCCAGTGTGTACAGCATTTTACCTATAGGAAATAAAGTGGCTCGATTTTTTTATTTGAAAAAAACATTTTTTTTTTAAACTTGATGTCACATCAGCTTAATTAGTACAGTGGTAGCGATGTGAAACTTACTGCTGGAGAGGTTATGTCCTTACCTGGGCATTTAGGAGTCCTGCCTGTCCACTTACTCAGTTTTCTGTTGTATTTCTTTCATTGCTTTGTAATTTGGGCTGCATTTTCATATTTATTCATAACTCTCTGGTGTCATGTATGGTCATTAGTTTTCTCTTGCTTAGTTCACTTTTTACTTTGCAAGACTTGGTAGAGATCAAATTATATCGCAGTGTTGTACAAAGGAATTCACTCATTCTCCCTTAGGCTTATGCCAAGTTTTGCTGCTGTTGAGTATTTTCTTAGTTTCAGGACTTTTTTTTTCTATTTTAATGAGATTTCTTTAAGACGAGCCACTCCCAGAAGTTTTATATTTCTTTTTTTAGCTTAAAATTAACTTTCTTACATATAAGCTGTATCTTTTTTGTGTGTGTCTGAGCTCCTATAATTTAGTTTCACCTGTGATTTAATTTTAGTGTATTCTGGCCATTGGGTGTTTTATCCTGCAAAGACGGCACAGAGTTAATCAGCCCGCAGTGGCCCCCAGTTCAGACGAGGATGAAGTTCACCTTTGTTAGTCACTCTCCAGGCCCCTGTGCCTGGCCCTTGTCAGTCTCTCTGGGGTTGGTGTAAGTGTGGCAGACACACTATACCACCAATTGTCGTTTTCATTCCTCTTGTTAGGTTTCTCCTCTTCACAGAGACAAAATCATTTACTTTCTCTTTGAATCTTAGCATCTTTCACAATATACAGAACATTGTCAGTGTTGGGCAGTGTCTACCATATGGACGCTGATAAGAGTTCTCCTGGACTTGTCTGCACTCAAACTTAAGGGGTCAGGCAAAGAAAACGGTGTACAAATCAAGTTAGTAAGATACGTCTGGGTAGGAAATTATTTTCTTCAAGTTTAGGAGGTATTCCCTTTTTGGAATATACATTTTAAATTTATGTTAAAGTTTCTGAAAGCTTAGTTTTGTCCCTAGGGGATTATAAGCTGCTGGAGGCCAAGGGCATGTCCTAATACTACCACTGCTTCGTCTGCCATGGGTAGCAGGTCCTCTCACTGGCTGTAAATAAAGCAGAGAGATGGATGTATCTCCTGGCTGGTGTATGAATTAAAAAGTATGCTTCTGGGCTGGAGATGTAGCTCAGTGGTGCTGCTGCCTGCCTCGAAAGCTCAAAGTCCCGAGTTCGATCCCTGGTACCAAAAAAAAAAAAAGTACATTTCTTTTTACTCTAGAGTAGGAGCTTTATCGGGGCAAGAAGCACACCATGTTTGTCTCTGTATCCAAAATACTAGCACAGCATCAGAGTTTTAGGAAGAATCTGGCAACTCTTGGTATTCATGTTGATTAATCTCCTTGGAAGAAAAGAACTTTATAAACTACTGGTGCTAAATAATGAGATTGCAGATTGACTGTGTCCATGGCTGCAGGCTTTGCGGAAGTTTCTGTTGTTTAGATGCAGACTGTCAGGATCTGATCTCCCCGAGTGTCTGTTTCACTCAGGCGATGCCTGTTCAGTGGAGAACATCTCTCTCTTTTCCCCTCCCTGCAGGCTGCCATGGCTGCTGTTGACAGCTTCTACCTCTTGTACAGGGAAATTGCCAGGTCTTGCAATTGCTATATGGAAGCTCTGGCTTTGGTTGGAGCCTGGTACACGGCCAGAAAAAGCATCACCGTCGTCTGTGACTTTTACAGCCTGATCAGACTGCACTTTATCCCTCGCCTGGGGAGCAGAACAGACCTGACCAAGCAGTATGGAAGATGGGCCATCGTCAGTGGTAATGCACTTGAAAGCCACATATTCTTTTCTATTTAGGTTGTATTTTAAGTTGGATGTTTTAATCAAGGAGCTGTTGAATTGAATGTGCCATTTTTGTGGGAATATGATGATGAAAAAAAATCTCATGATTCTTGTTATGATTATATTCACATGTTCTTACTTCTGTTTCCTAATAACAGGCCTGCTCTACCCCCACCTCCCCAGTCCTCACTTTTCCTTTCCCTTTTAAAATTTTTATTTTTTGGTAGTACTGAGGATTTAACTCAGGACCTTGGTACTAAGGTACATTCCCGGCTATTTTTATTTTTTATTTTGAGACAGGGTCTCACCAAGATACTAAATTGCCCAGGCTGAGCTTGAGCTTGAGACCCTCCTGTCTCAGCCTCTCACTTTTCCTTTTTGCTGTTTTGAAATCATCCATAGAAACTCTCCCCACTTTCAGAAATGCTTCAACTATTTGGAATTTCATTTTAATTTATCATTGTGTCCCAGAATGGCACTTCTTGGCACCCGTGCCAGTCAGATGGAAGTCTGGAAACAAATCCTACTGTGTTTTTCATCCACTTGGTGAATGTAAAATGACGCCATGTCTATTGGGGGTGTGGGAGAGGCTTTAGCGTGCAGCATTCACATTATGGATTCAGCATTGTCTTTGACTGATAAGTTATAGAACTCATTCTTTCTAGTGTCATTATTTTCTGGTTAAACCTGGTGGGTAGTTCAAGTTCATTTTAAAGAACATCATGCACTGAGCACACTCATGTTTCCCGGCTTGCATCGTAGGTGCGACCGATGGGATTGGAAAAGCCTATGCTGAAGAGCTAGCAAGCCGAGGTCTCAATATTATTCTGATTAGCCGGAACGAAGAGAAGTTACAGAATGTTGCTAAAGACATAGCTGACACCTACAGAGTGGAAACTGATGTTATAGTTGCAGACTTCAGCAGAGGCCGTGAGATCTACGATCTGATTCAGGAAGCTCTGAAAGACAGAGATGTTGGCATCTTGGTGAATAACGTAGGCGTGTCTTATCCCTACCCCCAGTATTTCACGCAGGTCTCCGAGGACAAGCTGTGGGACATCATAAATGTGAACATTGCGGCCGCCAGTTTGATGGTCCACATAGTGTTACCCGGAATGGTGGAGAGAAAGAAAGGTGCTATTGTCACCATCTCCTCTGGCTCCTGCTGCAAACCCACTCCCCAGCTGGCGGCATTTTCTGCTTCTAAGGTCAGGCTTTACTTGGTGAAAAGTGGAATCTTCATGCAGTAGAGCGTTTATTACAGTTGTTAGGTCCAGTTTGTTGTCAGCAACTTAAGTTGTGCTTTTTATTTTTCCCGAAATAATGATAGGCAAGTCTCTTTTACTCCTGACTTTTCCCGCAGATTCTGGATTAAAAGGCTTCTCCTCCCCTCTGCTTTAACAGGCTTACTTAGACCACTTCAGCAGAGCACTGCAGTATGAGTATGCTTCTAAAGGAATCTTTGTGCAGAGTCTAATCCCGTTCTACGTTGCTACCAACACGGCTGCTCCTCGAAGCTTTCTGCACAGATGCTCATGGTTGGTGCCTTCGCCAAAAGTATACGCACATCACGCTGTCTCTACCCTCGGAATTTCCAAAAGGACCACGGGGTACTGGTCCCACTCCATTCAGGTACCAGCACTCCTGGAGTTCTTGGGATTGGGTTAACACACTCTAAAGCTTTCCGAGTGGCACATGGGAGCCTGATTGAAGCCTGACACGGAAAGAGGAGAATCGTGAACTTGGCTTTTTAAAACCTTATTCTCTTACTGATTTCAGTTAAGATCCTCAATTCTATTATATTCTATTTGTTGTAATAAAAATTTTCAGAAGTTTAATCTGTCTGACGCCTGAAAGATAAAATACCTTGCTTCAATATAACTGGATAGTAGGAATGTAAAAATACTAAAAATTTATATGACAGTTCCAAAGTAAAGATGCTAGTAAGGTTTGAAGGGAAGGGGTACCTCTATAGTGAAGTTTAATCCAGAAAAAATACAACCATAAAGTAGATCAGACAACATGTCAGAATATACTTGAACTCATTTGCTCAAGAAGCACAGGATTAAAATTTTTTTTCAGATCTGACAAAGATTTGGGTCTTTTAATAATATTTTAATTTTGTTAAGTATTTAAAATTGTGATTTTTAAGTATTAGAGAGAGAACTTATGATTTATATTAAACTATTTATAATAAATTTTTGTTTTATTATCTAAAAAATAGATATGCCCTCATATAGATAGTTTTCTTAATACTTAGAGTTTTTTAAATTACCAAATATTTTTGAGACTGTTGACATAAAGATTATTAAATTTACTACTACAAAATAAACCTACAAGTAAATCAACAGTTAATTTTTACTTTAATCAAAAGATTTAGCTAAAGATTTTCTTTAATAAAAAGCAGTTTATTTAAGGTGATTATTTTTAGGTACTTAATTGCTTGAGAAAAGCAGAAAACCTAAGTAGTTGTTTTAGAAACCACCAACCTTGAAGTCCTCTTAGAAATGAAAATAGAGTGAGGATAGTGTAGGTACTATAGATATTTTCACTGTGTTTATAAAACACCAACATTTTAATCACAGTTAAACTTTTTTCTTATTTCTTAAGGACATGCTTTTCTGTCCAATTCTGTGAAGCTAATGTAATTCCTAGAGTAGCTTTCTATACAGAGTTGTTACACTTTCCCTTTTTAAAATTTATTTGTTTGGTTGGTTGGTTTGAGACGTGATCTTAGTGTGTAGTCCAGGCTGGCCTCTTAACTCAACCGTGATCCTCCTGCTTCAGCCTCCAGAGTGCTGGGATTACAGGCATGTGTCACCAGGTCTGGAAAAAAATTTTTTTTTTTGGTACCAGGGATCGAACTTGGGTCCTTGCACTTGCGCAGCAAGTGGCAAAACCACTGAGCTAAATCCCTGGCCCCAAAACTTTGTTTTTTAAATTTCATTTTCACTTTACTCAAATTGTTACTCAAACACTGTTTTGTTTTCAATTTTACAACAAAGATTAGATGCATTGAGTACTGTTTTATTTGAGACATAATTCTCTGGTAGCTTATGCTACTATGACTTATATTTTATAGATACTGTTTCTTGTGAATGCAGTTCCCCCAGGGCACAAAGATCTAAATTTTATCAAGATTTCGGTTCTCTGTGTTTAGTATATGAGAAAGAAATTTGATATGTCAGACAAATGGAATGAAGTTTTATTTGGTGCTGTTTTTTCCAGTTTGTCTTCTATACTGTGAATGAAATAAGAATGCTATGCTGAATTTAGTATTAGTTGAGGAGAGGAGGGAGTCAACAGTAAATGTGTCTGTTCAGCCTGTTAGAAATCTGCATTAGCAATTCAGATTGCATTCACATTCCCTTTCCAGCTGGAGAGACCATGAGATACCACCTTAGACACCTTAGAGGGGTTGAAGGAAAGGTTTGTGCTTCAGAAAGTCGGTAGTGCCATGGCTCAGATAGGTAGCACTGGAGGAGGAAATGAGGGATGGGGAGAACTAGTCCAAGCTGGCTCTGAAAATCCTGGGGAAGATTGAAAACAAGAGGAGGTGGCAGGTGTGTGTGGGAGACAGAGGTGAGCAGGTGAGGAGCATTTGGCAGTGTGACAGCTGTGAGGGGTGGGTGGCACACCTGCCAGAGCATGTGGGAGAAGAGCATTTAGTGTGAGCCTCAGCGTCTCCAGCAGGGCAGGGAAAGGCACAGGAAGGAGGTGCAGCAGGGGCTGGGTTCGGGGGTGAGGGCACGGGGAAGTCAGGTGGGGATTGCAGCGGTTCCTCAAGCTGGGAAGGGCAGTGCAGATGCACATCTCTCCGGGCAGCTCTTCTTCAGCCTCTGAGGTAACTCCAGCTTGAGGGCCCTAGCTTCTGTTATTTATTTATTTTGGTTTTTTGAAACAGGGTCTTGCTGTGTCATTCTCGCTGACCTTGAACTCACTGTGTTGCCCAGGCCGGCCTTAAACTCTTGGTGATGCTCCTGCCTCGGCCTCCTGAGTGATGGGATTACAGACATGCATCACCACACCCAGCTTCTAGCTTACATTACTTCGGCTCTTTTCCGCTCCCGTTTAGTCCTTACATCTTTAAGCCCCACCTGTCTCAGCCTCTGGGGAAGGGATGCCATCTGTATTTTAATTGCTAATGTAGATTTCCACAGAGCTGAACATGCACTCTGACTACTGACTTCCTCCTCTCAGGGTCCCCAAGTCTTTCTGCACAGTGTCACTCCAGGGACTGCCACACCTCAGGAGACGAGGCAGGCGGCGGAACCACTGAGCTAAATCCCCGAGCCTAAGGAGTGGTACTTTCTTAAGCCTGGGCAAACTGGTCAGGACCCTGATACGGAGCAGACCTTCTCCTGTAGCCCACCCTCCAGCCCCCGGCACGTTCCCTCTTCCCTCCATTTTGGTGTACTCTGCCTCAGTTCCCTGTACACAGAGCTTGGCATTCCTTCTTGGTAACCTTTGTCAGCTAAAGGACCAGTGAGTTGGCCGCTTTAGTTTATCCAGGGAATCAAGGTCTCTGTCCTTCCAGTGCCTCCTCCACCCTGCTGCCCAAGGGGCCAGCCCCTCTGGGGGCCAGTCAGAGATGGTGCAACATTGAGTCCCCACTCGGCTCCCTCGGGAACTGGGGAACATGCCTTGATGCTATTTCCCAAATACATAGTGGTCAAGAATGGAGTGAAAAAACAGATTTTTTTGACACCACTTCCACATTAAATAATCACTGAAAACACCTATATAGAATATCACATCAGAGGGGGTGCTGTTGATCTAGACTGTGTCAGCTGCCCACATTTTTGTCCTCCTAAGGGACCCCTACAGGACTCCTTTTATCTCCCTGGGTTTAGAATGGTTTGTCTTTGGGCACTGGCTCCGAGGAGGACTGATCAGGCCTTTCCTCACTAAACCCTTTAAGGAGACCCCAGGATATTGCAGTTATTTGCCCCAGAATGTTCCCCGTGGCTGCAGGCCAGATACAAGTCTCCTGTCTTGCAGGTGGCTGACCTGGAGCCTCTGCAGAGCCTGCTAGAAACAGCTGCAGCTTTACAACTATCATTGGGTAGTTAGTGATACGAGGACTCATCCTTATTTGATGTGGGCCCCTGGAGGTGCAAAGGAAGTTGGGTCCACATATTGAGAAGAGGGTTGAGTGACTTCCGTGTCATAGTTCTGTTCAAGGTTAGAATGTAGACAAGTTGTAAGAACTTCCATTCAGTCCTGAACAGATGTCAGAGGAGCACAGGTTTCTCCGTCCCAGCACCGTTGGCACCAGCAGTGGATCATTCCCTGACAGAGGACTGTCCTGGGCATTGCAGGATGTTGAGCAGTGTCCCTGACTATACCCACAGGATGCCAATGGCACCCATGCCCAGTCTGACACCTAGAAAGGTTTCCAGACAATGCCATCTGTCCCCAGATTGAGACAGCAGCAGCAGCAGCAGGACTCCCTCCTGGTTCCCTGAGCACCTCATTCTGTCCCCAGACACAGTTCCAAGGGCCTAGTGTTTCTCAGTTCTCTCATTTAATTTGCTCCAGCCTGCCCCTCAAAACCTAGTTTTCTCCTAGGATATTAACCACATGGACATCTCTTTATTCCAACTGACTTTATTGCTGTAATGAATTTGCAGTTCTTAACTGGTAATTGTACCACTCATATCACATTAAGTAAAGATGGAGTTATCTTCTTTTTTGTTTTTATTTATTGTTTTTATCTTGAAGGTTTCTCTAGACTCAATACAGAAAGGGGAGTGGTTCCTCCTGGTAGTGACCATGTTTGTGTTCGTTGTGGAATGTGGGGTGGGGTGATGTTTTATGCAAAAATAGATGCTCAATACAGAAATGCCCAAGGGCTTTTTCCTTTGTTGTATTTCCTGTGGTTGGTAGATACTTACTGGATTAAATCATGTGCTCATCTGTGTACCTGTTTCTTCAGTGGTGATGGTGATGGATGCTAACCTTCTAACTGTTTTCTCTTTCCAGTTTCTTTTTGCCCAGTATATGCCTGAATGGCTGTGGGTATGGGGAGCAAATATTCTCAATCGCTCGTTACAAAAGGAGGCCTTATCCTGCAAAGCATGAATCCAGATGATCGGTGAAGTTTTGCCAGCTTCTGGTAACCTGCAGTATTCCGACATTTGGAAAAGGACATTTAATTTATCGTATGTGTTTCCTTTCGTGACTGATTATCTAGCATCCTGTCGATTCATTGTTTGCAAGGCAGACTTCGAGAGTGCTGTGGAAAAACCTCCAGGGCTCCACGGATGACACAGAGTAAATGACGACTAGAGCTTAAAGAACTGATGGAAGAAACCTAAATGTCAGTGCTTTTTACCCAAGCTGTTCAAAATTTGTGTAATTTACATTGTTCTAGGAGCCACAGTGATCTAGCACTTTAGGATTTGATTAGTCACCTCTTACAATTTCAGATGTCTTGTGAAGGAAATTACCTATTCCCCTTTACACGTGACTCCTGGTCTGGTGTTCAAGAGTTGATCAGGAAAGGCCAGGGATTTAGCTCAGTGGTTCTGCTGCCTGCCTCGCAAACACAAGGTCCTGAGTTTGATTCACGGTACCAAAAACAAAAAGCTGATCAGGAAGACTACTGAGAAGTGTTATTTTGTAACTGAGAGTGCAGTGGTTGCTGGTGTCAGTGGTAGAAGTCTGTGTGTCCTGCTGCATAGCTCCCCGTGTTGGGGTGTGTGTACATGCTGCTCTTTCCCGAGGTTTCCCTAGGGAAGGATGTGCGATGTGTGTGTCTAAGGAACTCTGTGTGTGGTTGAGTTACTTTAAAAGAGATTTCTTGTGAAGGTGACATGGAACCTTACGGGGTATTAACACTAGGTTATTCCTTCTCACAGTGAACAACCCTACCTGCTTTTGTAATGTAGGTTTGGTATGTCTAGTACTGCTTCCTTGAGATGTCTTTGTTTTTTTAATTCTACAGAATGAATTCATTCCTCGATTTGGATATGTCATCTTTTGATTTATAAGATAATGTTGTGGATAAGTAGTGATTTCTCAGCCTATGATCCATTTTATAACTGAAATTTAGCCCTGTAGAGCTTGTTACATCTGTTGTTTCATACAGTTTTCTATGTAATATCCCATTCCAGTAGCATTATTGATGTATTTATGACGGGTGGATAAAATATTGACAAATTATGTGTGTGATATATCTGTTGAAATAGGAAGTTAGAAGCTCATTTTTGGCTATGTAATGAGTTTACACGTTATAGTGAATACTTTTATTGGTGTGAAGATAATTATGCACAAGCCCCCACAATATGAATTAACATTGAAACCTACTGTGAAATATCTTTAATTCAGATCCTGTAAACCCTATAAAGTCATTTTGGAGGACCACATACCTAGCACTTTGAAAACTTTAAGTCACTAAGAATATGGCAGCACGTATAGATTTAAAATTAAAACTTAATATTGTGACACTTATGTAGTTTGTAGGATGTAGGATGTAGTTTGAGGGTCAAGTCTGATTGTTTTCTTGTGAAGGGGTACTCCACTGTAAGCCTGACCATGCTTTTACATTAAGCACACAGGTTGACTTGTGATATTGCCTGCAGCATTTCTAACTGTGACTTGGAGTCAGAAGATCAGTGTTCCAAAGCTCTTTCACTCCTTAATCAGAATGTAAGATGTGGAGAACTACGCACTCGGAGATGCTGTGTAACAGCAAAGGTTTTGGTGGAGGTAGCTCAGAATCCTCCTGACTTTGTGCCATACTGATGAGAACTTTGATGGATGTGTAATAAGCAGCAGCAACTTTATGTAAACACATTGTCAGTTACTGGTAAGGTTGTGTGTGCTATGTGATGAGAACAAGTAAACACACATCGTCAGTGATGTTTTAAATTTGCCTTGGCAGGACCTGGCTAAACACGCTGATTGTTGTGGTGCAGCACAGCTGTCTGTAGCTTCAGTGAAAGACCGAGCCTGGGAATTTCCTTAAGCATTCTAGCTTTTATAAAATACTTTTGCCTCAAAAGCTCACGTGAGAGTTAATCAGACCATGATGGATAGGGTTGCTTTTTAAAAAATGTGAGAAATCTGAACATTTAAAACTAAGTGTGTGGATTGAAAATGTAACAATAAAATCAGTTGCTCTGTTTCCTCTGGACAAGGTTTTGCTGTGTTTGCAAGCTGGTTGTTTGGAAAGAGATTAATTTTTCCTTGTAGAAATGATAACTGAAAATTACCCTGTGAACACTGTGGTTGTAATTCATTAAAAGCTGATGCTAGCCTGGCATGGTGGCCTGTAATCTCAGCTACTTGGGACACCCAGGCAGGAGGATCAAAAGTTTGAGCCCAGGGCCAGGGATGTAGCTCAGTGGTACCGGACCTGCCTGACGAGCGCAAGGTCCTGAGTTCAATCCCCGCCTGGTACCAGGAAAAAGAAAAAATCTTCCAAAAGTTTGAGCCCAGCCTGGACAATTTAGTGAGACCCTGTCTCAAAACGAACAAACACATGCGTACAATTAAAAGGCTGTGAATGTAGCTCAGTGGTAAGAGTGCTTATGTAGCATGCACAAGGCCTAAATTCAATCTCCAGTCCTGGGGAAATGAAGAAAAGCTGATGTTTTCATAACAGAGTTGTGTGTACCAGTGTGTCTGGCGAGTCTTTGAAGCACCTGTCTTGATCTCATCTCCTGATGACTGAGTAGGATGGAGATGGGTTTGGTTGTTGAATTTGGTAGTGTGGTAGTGGTAGGTGATTTGCCATGAGCTGTTTCAGCTGAGTGGTGGGACTAAAGGCAAGATTATGATGTGTTCAATAAAATATACCTGTAATCCTAGCACTTGGGTGGCTGAGGCAGGAGAATCACTGTTTGAAGCCAGCTAAGTCTGCTTAGTGAGTTCAAGGCCAGCCTGAAATACTAGCAAGACCCTGTCCAAAAAAGAGCAGCTGGGGATTTAGCTCAGTGGTGCCTTGCCTGCCTTGCAAGAGCAAGGTCTTGAGTTCTATCCCTGGTATGAGGGGTGGGGTGGATGACAAAAAAGAGCAAATAGAGACAGTTTTGAGGAGTCTTTGTTTTTTTCCTACCTCAATTATGTAAAATTTTGTCACATTTGGGAACCAAGGGATTAGATGGTGTGTCCTCACTTGACGTTCTGTGTCCTCCAAAACCAGGTCTAGTTTGTCCATGACCGTCTCTCAGTACATACAGCCCCTGACTTAGGACTTATAATGATCTATATATAATTTGTTGACTTTACAATGGTGTGAAAGCTATATACATCAAGCAGAAACTCAAGTTTGTAATTTGATCTTTTCCCAGGTAAGTGATAGGCAGTTTGATCCTGGCTCTCGGTGCTGGGCAGCCATAGTGAGCCCAGGACCTAAGCAGGCATGTGGGCACAAAGTTACCATTCAGTCACCCCTTGGTGTTTATGTGGGGTGGGTTCCAGGACCCAAATTTGTGGATACCCAAATCTGAAGATGCTCAAGTCCCTTATATAAAATGGTGTAATATGTGGATATGATCTATGTGTATCCTTCTTTAGACTTTAAATTATATCTAGGTTACTTCTCACACCTAATCTTTAAATGCTATGAAATGGTTGCTATTGTTTAGGGAAGAATGACAAGGAAATAGAAGTCTACACATGTTCAGTATGGACACAATTTTTTCCCAAATATTTTCAATCCAAGATTAGTTGAGCTGGTGGATTTGAAACTCACCAATACAGAGCCAGCTATATAAAATAGGCTTTGTGTTAGGTAGTTTCGCCCAACTGTTGGTTAATACAGCGGAGTGTTCTGAGCACTTTTAAGGTTGGCTGTAGTTGTGGGGCCAGGTATACAGTGTTGATGAGCTTGGGAATACTGGATTCATTCTTGATGGAGAGGGTGGGCTTTTTTAGGCAGGAGGTCTCAAACAGTGCCCACTATGTATACGTGATGGACCACACGTCTGCCTCAAACATGTCCTTTCTGGCTTGCCACCTTGGGAGCTAGGTAGTTAGAACCCATGCAGGGCCTTCCTCTGCTCCCTATGATATTCACCACTTGTTGCTTGTTCCAAATCCTGTTTGACCTCCAGTTCCTCATTTAGGAAGTTTGCCCACCCCAAGGTGCCAGTAAATAACCCAGTTTTGGTGTAGGTATTGGCAGCCCAAGACGATCTGTTGAAGGTAGTGGCAGGCCTCGGGCTCAGTCAGTGCCTTCTTCCTCTTGTGCAGCTTAGGAGAGACCTCCGGGCAACCATGAACATTAAGCTGTGGTCCTCAGAAAAGCCCTGAAACCTACAGTGTGCTGGTGAGGAAGCTATGGAGATGGGTATCTCCATGGGCAGATTGAGCAGCAGTGTTAGCAGTCTTGCCTCAAGGTCTCAGTGTCTGTGCCAAGTTGAAGCTGCTGTGCCCTAAAAGGAGCTCCATACATGGCGCTGCTGGCTGTGCAGCTCCACTAGGACCTCTGTGCTTGTAGAGTAGAGTAGCTGTCAGAGCTGGGACCTGCAACTTGGGAACTCTGGCTTTCCCCTGTTCGGCTGATGCCTGCACCATCTGCTGTTATTCTATAAAATAACAATTGGAATACAGATTCACTCATCCATGGAATTGCAGATGCTTTGTTCTGTACATGAAGTATGAGTTTAAGAAGTTATCTTAGGACCTGGATTGGTGGAAAAGTGCCAGACCAAGATCCTTTAGGTTTCAGCCCTTGGTGATATCCAAGGGACTTCTCTGCCCTGTGCTCCAGCTTACAGGCATTCTAAGGAACTGGCAACAGGATCCTCTTCCCTTCGGGGCTTCAGGGATGTTTACAACCGAGTAGTCTACCCAGTTCCAGATGCCTGGGCCATAGTCAATGGCATAGTGACTACAGAGCTGTTAAAAGAACCCTGGTCAAAATTATTTCACCCCAAGTTAGAACAGAATGACTTAAGTTTAAAATCAAATGCATTTATGTGGTGGCAGAAGGAAGTACTTTCAAGATTTGGAAATACAGAAAGGAATTCTCTGAAAGTTCCTAACATCAAGCTCTCTGGAAAGATCTGAAGAATCCACTACCATTTATTGATTATAAATGGGTCATCTACATTATGTGTTTCCTGTGGTCCTCATCCTGTGAGGTACGTTATTAGTATCCCTGGCTTTTGGGTGAGAAGGCTGAGATACAGAGGTTAAACACCTTGGTTAGCGTCACAAAGTATGTCTGAGGTGGGATATGGTGTTGGAGATTGTCTTATCCACTGTGTTGAAATAATTTAAATCATTGTTAAGAAAAAGGTGCTGTGCCTTCTTGCCATATTGGTACCACTCAGCATTACTATGGTGCCGTGGAATGTTCAGGTTCTACAGTTTTGTCTGGCCAGGTAGCACATCCTTGCCCACTAGTTCTACTGGAACATGCTTGCTGTTCTGCGCTTAGGACCAAGCAGGGGCCAGCTCAACATTGAGACTGAAAACCACCAGTCATCCTAGTATCTGAATCACCCAGGTGGGGTGGGTTTTTTTTGGCAGGGACACTTTTCAGTGTTTTACACATCTGTTTCTTCAAAAAAGGAAAGTAAGCAGTTGGCAATAAATAAGTACTGTTTTCACAAAGCCCAGAGATCTGTCGCAGCACAAGAGCCCTCCCAGCACTCAGGCCAAGGCCGTGACGGTTTAGGAGGGTGCGTAGATGGGATTTAGGGTTTCCATGTCTGGGTGGGTTCAGATTCATTTCAGTCACCTGCCCGGGTCTCAGCTTACGGGTGGGTGAGAGAGTTGTCCGGAGGAGGTGCCTGGGGGTGCCAATAGGCGAGGGTGGGGATCCTAGGCCACCCTAGCGCGGAGGACCGGAATTTGCTTGGATTTGGACTCCGGCAGGAAGAGCTATCGCTAGAGTAACGCGCTTTCCTCACGTGGATGGCAGAAGCCGGCGAGGCGGGGAGCTTCTCGCCACGGACAGGAGCTTCTCGTCCTATCTAGAACCCGGCTGCTTTCAGGTCTGTGCTGCTTTCCCCAGCTCTTGGTTCTAAAGCCCAGAGAATCCAAGCCCGAGACTGGCGCAGTACACCACACACGCGAGCGGGCTACGCCCACTTAGCCGGGCCTGCAAGTATCGCGAGACTTCAGTCCACTCTCCCGGTGTGCATCCGCGGCCCTGGGCCCCGGGAGCGCGCACGCGGTTCCCGGTGCGCGCACGCTGGGCCGACTGCCCGACCGTGGGCCCCTCCGCCAGTGCCGGAGTCTCGCGAGAGTTGTGAGTAAACAGCCCCGAATGGAGAGTCGTAGCGTGTTCGCGGCGGAGGCTCCGTTATCCCTGGCCTGCCGGCTCCGAGCCTGAGGCGGCCGAAGGTACGTAAGCAGCCCTCGCCCGGGCACCCGGAGCTGCCGCCCCTTCTGGCCTGCGGACGGCCGCACGCGTCCCAGGAGCCGGCCGCGCCCGAGGCCCGAGGCGCTGGGCTCCTCCTGTCCCGCCGACCCTGCACTGCGGCTAGACGGCGCCGGCCCGGCCCTCACCGCCGGGACACCTTCCCGGCACCATTCGGACATCCCCCAGCCACCCGCAGCGCCGGGCCTGTCCGGCGGGCTCCCGCACCGGCACACGGTTGGGTAGCTTCTGCCAGTCTGTTATTTCTTTATGTGAAATAAACTCTAACGGAGCGGTGCAGTGTGGGCTCTGGCCCGGGGCTTCCAGACAGCCGCTCATGTCTGGGTGCTTCCAGGCAGCTGCAGGTGTCAGGTGTTAAGAGACCGCAGTTCCGGCCCACATTTTAGCTCGTCTGCTTTGCACCGCTAATGCTTAGAACGCGGCCTGTGACGGATAAAGACGGGAGAGGTTGGTAACTCAGAACCATAAAGATGATTCATAGAGAACTTTTAAACCTCCCTAGATCTTGACCTGCCACGGACGGCATGGTGGTGCTACTACCGAAGACTGCTGTCGATCGTCGGCTTCATTTTTATTAAGATGTTTACCCCGTGCCTGTAGAGCCCCTGAAAATCTTGGTCTGCTGGTCTGTACAAATTAAGTTAAATATTTACTTTTACATTAAATTCTAAGTGACGCTTCCAAATGACAGGAGCAAGAAGACCTGGAGGTTGAATTGTAGAGCCTTTCGTGGCTCTATGCTAGTGAGCACCTCTAATATTTTGGGTTTCAGGTTTACAAGTGTATAAAAAGGAGGGGCTTGCATAAGAGCAGTTTTCTCTCCAGTTTTTTATTGAGCTGCAGAATCCTTTCTTAGTATAGCTATGTTTTCATATAAGAGCTTCATTTTGGTAGAATTTATATACTGCATTAAATGCAGAGTTGTGCAGTTATCACCACAATCCGCTCTTAGAATATTTCCATCACCCCAAGAAGACCCCTCTGTTCACTGGCAGTCAGTACCCATTTTCAGCCCCATTAATCTACTTTGTCTCCCTAGATTTGCCATTTCTTAGTATTTCATCTCTTCAAATAAGAAGTCATGATATTTGGCCTTTTGTGTCTGGCTTCTTTCACTTACAGTGTTTTCAGGGCTCACCCAAGCTGTAGCTAGCATGTATCAGTACTTCATTCCTTGTTATGACCAAATGATATTCCATTGTATGGGTAGCCTACATTTTAAAAAATAATTCATAGAGAACTTTTTTCCCTTTGGTTTTTTGAGACAGGGTCTCGCTATGTAGTCCAGGCCGGCTTTGAACTCATTATGTAGCCTGGGGTGGCCCGGAGTGCTCAGCAGTCCTTCTGCCTTAGCCTCTTGAGTGCTGGGATAACAAGCATGTACCATGAAGACCAACATGCAGAACACTTCTTGCAAATAAAATTTTATGCTACAGTGTGTGATACCCATGACAGCAGCTTTTTATTAGGGCCTCCTAAGTCTCCACTGAGTTCCCCAAGCAACAGCAAGAATTTGTCGTTTCTGTGTAAAAGTGGAAGTTCTCATGCAGTGCTGGCAGGATCTTTTTTTTTTAGTTATCGGGGATTGAACTCCGGTCCTTGTGCTTTCGAGGCAGGCGGCGGAACCACTGAGCTAAATCCCCAGCCCAGAGATTTTTTTTTTTTTTTTTTTTTTTGGTACGTGGGATCGAACTCGGGACCTTGTGCTTGCAAGGTAAGCGGCGGAACCACGGGGCTAAATCCCAGGCCCACGATCTTTGACTCACATAGGAATGAAGGGGTGTCTATTTTGGTCAGATGTTTATCATTTCTTGCAAATTCATGTTCTTTGATTGTATTTTCTATCAGCCCATGACAGGTTGTTCTTGGACTGCCTTTTTATTTGCATGACAGCCGCCACAAGTGTCACAAATAATTAGAATAACAAAAGTAGGAAGACTGAAAGCAGAAGTGAACTGCACATTTCCCATTAGTGTCTTTAGTGGGGCCTAATGCCCTGTCTCCTCGCCCTTTTAGGAATGACCACTCTAACTTTTGGAAACCTGAAATACTAAGAACAGGAGATTTGACCTTCCTTTTCATGTTTGGGTGGGGGACGGAGGTTGAAGATAGAATGGTCTCTTTCAGTGTTTTACTTTGAGGCAGGTTGAAGTGATTAAAAAAAGTTGATTTCTGTTTCCTTGTGGCCTGATCCGTTTTGATGTGCTGCAGAAATCCATTAAGTAGATTTATTAATTTTGACAAGGTTCTGTTTGCCTAAGGAAACTGATTTAAGATGTGGTAGGATAGGAAGTTTGGTGGCGCCTACTGTGGCTGACTAGTTTTAGATGGCAAAAGGATAAGAGAAGACTGCTAGGAGCCCAGAGCAAATATGTGAAAGAAGAGGCAGTGATACACTGTAGACAGGGTGCTCTACTGACACATTGGGCTAAAGAATTTTTTTTTTTTTTAAATACAGTACTGATGGACAGAATGTGCCAGAAGAAATGGTTCACTCAGGCTTAAGAATACACCTTTATTTTAAGATAGTTTGTTCTGGTATTGCTTAATTGTTAGCCTGTTAAACAATGGTACTACAGCCGACTATGCAATTAGTTACAAAAGTGGTAGTTTTTCAGGCAGCTTTTAATTAAACTGTATAGTACCCTTTCATAATCTAAATACAATTCAGTCTTTGGTGTTATTTCAGTAAACTAGTTTATTAAAAAGCAAGGTATAACTGCATAGTTAGATGATTATCATGTGATACAAGTAATTTCCTCTCACCTGAATTATGTTTATAAATTATTTTTAAGGAAATAGTTTCAGATATATTTAAGTTATACCCAGGAGTATAATCTTTGTGATATTCATTATGCAAATTATGAGTTTCAGAACTGCAAGGCAAGTTAGGTGTCAGCTAGATCAGTTGCCTGCCCAAATTATGTATTTCCTCTGCTTTGTCTCCTTTTCACACATTTTATACCGGAGCATACAATTTAAACTGTATCTTTCATTTAGTATTTGATCTCAGGTTTATCTTTTTATTACACCTGTATTAAAGGTATAGGAAAACTCATGGAAAAGTTCATAGGTGGAAATACCATCTTTTAGGGTATGCCTTTTCTGGGAAGATAACTCAGGTATTCCACATAAAGAATTCATGGAAATTAAATCTAATCACCATTTAGTGGGGCTGGTAGCAGCCTAAGTAAAAGTTCTGAGAGTAAGTGATAATACAAATGATAAGCCTTTCCTTAATGAACCAGCTAGGAGCAAAATGTTTTCAAAGGGTATCTTTTCTATAGGCTGGTGGTAGCTGGAGACAGATTTTTCTCTTCTCTTCTCTTCTCTTGTCTCCTCTTGTCTCCTCTTCTCTTCTTGTACTGCAGATTGAACCCAGAGTTTTTACATTACCCTACATCACCAGCCCTTTTTATTTTTCTGTTTTGAGACAGAATCTCACTGAGTTGCCCAGGCAGGACTTGAATTTGAGATCCTCCTGCTTTAGTCTCCCAGCATAGTTGTTGGAATTATAGGCATGCACTTCCACACCTGGCTTGGAGACAGATTTTTTTTTTTAGAAAAATTCCTAGGAAATAGATCTCTTTTAAGCTCACTGTATGTACACAAAAAATAAACACAGTTGAATTTTTGTGCCACTTTCTCACTAGAAATTGTGATTTGTTTTTCTTTCAAAAATTTTTTAAAAGGTTTATTAAAACATTTAAACAGCATGTTTAATTATAAAAGTAACATGCTTTTTGTAAAAATATAAATAAAATAGAATTTAAAAGAAAATAATTTGTGACTATCCTATTATAAGGTAGGACTGCGGTTACCGTTTTGGTATATTTTTTCAGTGTGTTTTTTTTCCGGTGCCCTACACATATTTAAAAAATAAAAAATTGGATCATACTATCTATGAAGTATTTAATATTTCATTGGCATTTACTCATATTCTTATTGCTGATATAACAGTGGCTTAATCAACACGGATTTCCTGTCTTACACGTCTAGAGGTCAGAAGTCCTAAAGCAGGCTCACTGGGCAAAGTCAAGGCACTGTCAAGGCTGGTTCCTTATAGAGGCTGAGGAAAGAATCTGTGTCTGACCTTTTCCTTGCTAGTGTCTGGAGCTCACTGCTGTGTTGCCTCCTGACTTCTTTCTCCTCCCTCAACTCCTTGCCTCCATCATCACACCTCCCACCACCCACTCTGCTCAACTCACGTAATCACACTTCCCCCACCTGGATACTGGAGGAAGCCTCACTGTCCATAGAAAGTAATGTTCATAGTTTCTGGGGCTGAGGACATGGACATTTTGGGGGGACCATTGTTCAGCCCAGCACAGAAACAGTCTGAAATTGCTGCAAGGCATTCCCTACTACAGATGAACCATAATTATTCCACTTGCCCTCTACTATTGCACATTTAGATGGTCTCTCATTTTTCTCAATTATAATCTTCAGTACATATCCTTGGACATAAATCATTGTGTGCTTTCTGATTCACACATGTTGGAATGAATTCCTAGGGGAGATTATAGAAAAGCAGGCTCCTTCACTCTGAAAAGTTTGGCCTCTGGAACCAGACCTATTGAGTTCCCGGGCAGGGGTTGGGGAAGGCAAATGGCTTACCTCTGCTGGACCTCAGTTTTTCCATCTGCAAATAGGGGTCATAGTCATTTTTTGTGAGGATTAAATGAGTTAATGCATACCAGTTACTTAGAATAACACCCAATAGATAATAAATGCTCAGTAAATGCTTTTATTGTTACTATTGGGTTTATTAAGCCAAAAGGTTTTTAATGTCCATTATAAAGTGTTTAATACCTATCAGCAAATTGTCACTCTAAAAGATTATAAGGGTTTTTTATTTTTACCAGCAACATATGAGAACATTTATTGAGTTTGCTAAATTCTTAAATGTGATTTGTATTATATATATATATATTTTTATTATATATTGATTGCTTCATTTTTT